ATAATAATAACACTAGCAACAACTAATAAACTTTAAAGAAATATGAAATAAGTTTTACAAAATTGTATAAATTTTAGTATCTAATCCTAATAATTGAGAGAAAATGTACTTTTCAATTAGTGTCAATCAATAAAATGTGAACTGATACGAACACTACTGCTACTACTACCTTACTACTACGAAATAATGTCAAAAAAGAAAGTTAATACACAAAATAATTAACAATAACTAGGTGTAAATACAAGTATTAAACAAAATATTTTAGCTTTATACCTTTATTTCACTCCTAATCTCTTCATATGTATGAACTCAGTGTTATAATGTAGTGGCTTTGCTTTGTTAATCAGTCACTTTTGTAACCATTAATACATAAATCCAAACGATGGTTGAAATCAGAAGTTATTAAGAAGTGACGATCACAGTTTATTAGCGGATAGCACGGATAACAATGTTGACTAATATGATGTTGAGACGTTTGTATAACATTTAGTCATATGACAACAATCCACATTTATTAATTATAAAGAAGTGATGTTCACTTAAAATTAAGAAGACTTTTATATATAACAGATAAATGACGACAAATATAAAACTCAACTTCTCCCTTAATACCAACAGCAAGTAAATTATGCACTTGAGTCAGTTACCCTTACTGCGACATAAGCCATCGACTAGAAATCTCCAACCATCTCTGTTCTGATCTTTTCTCTCCATTTGTTGCCAGGTACTATTTGTTCTTTCAATGTCTGCGTTCAACATTCAGGACCACATCCTTTGATCTGCCTCTTTCCATTTTAGTTTGAAAATTACAAGTTACGGCTTGTTTTGTGATGTAGTTTGATGATTTCTGTAAAGTGTCCTATTCACTGTTGACATCTTTTCCTAATTTCGTCAGCTAGCAGCTGGTTTGTTATTTGACAGAGTAAGTCATTACTATGTCTATGACAAATAGATCTGAAATATCTTGCGTAGACAATTGTTTATAAATACCCGTGCTTTTAGTGATAGTAGTGGCAATAGGTCAATTTTCGGCTCAGCGAATTTCGTGTGACGGTGATTACCTTCTCACTTACTCTAGGGTATCAAAGACGATCCCACAAAGTTTTTCCATTCACACTATTAATTTCTTCCCATAATCAAGGGAGTTGATGTATAGTGATAAGCTGCATTCAATCGACTGTACAACAGTCATCTGAAATGTCGTGACTTAGTCGTCACATGATCGATCCTTACGAAAGTTTGTCTGTAGATCTCAAAATTTGGAGTCTATTGGATCTTCCGTTCGGTTCAAGCGTGACTCAATATTTATACCCAGACAAAAATAAGCCAAAGACATGTGATGAGTGGAATAAGCGATTAACACACATACACTCATATAAAAAGTAGTCAAGGTTAGCGAGCGAATAACTGATAATGTCAAAATGTGACTCAAGAAGACGAAATAAGTCAGTCTGTCCGGAAGCTAGAATAACTCAAATGAACTCTACGTAGAGATAGACATTACAAGTCAAACCGCTTCTGTATTATTGCTCTGTCCGATGACCTTGTTGACTTCCTCGATTTTTGGAGCGGCAATATCTATAAGAGGGTCTAAATGTGTTATTTTGACGTCCGGTGAGTTCAGTAGTACCGGTCTATTCAATAACCCTTCAAAGTCTTCTACACATTTGTCCCACTTTTCCTCGACCGGTCACTCTAACATGCCATACTTCCTACTGCTGTTTTCGTTATATCATAAAGTTCTCTCATATTTCTTTCTTTCGCAGCTTTTTTCTGCTGTCGTTGATAGGTCTTCCACATATTTTCGCTTATCAGCTTGAATGCTCCGCTTTACTCGCTTGTTCGCTTCTATGTATCGACCCTGTCTCTTGGTATTCGTTGCTCTCGTTCAGCTGTCGTTGATTATTGCATTTCTGTTCTACTGTTCTTGAATCTTACCCACGATATCAGCAGAGATCCACTGTTTATCCTGGTTCTTTTTGTAGTCCAGCACCTCATGGCATGTTGAGGTTGTTTTTTATTTAATCCCTTTTCAGTCTCTCACTATAATGATTTCCTCTTTTGGTAGATTTTGCGGGGCTTAGAGCTCGTTACTGAAAGCCATATTGAATTCGCTGAGTTTGTTAGTATCACTACGGTAGCCTGTATCCAAACATTTGTAGTACTGCTTGCCCAACTGCTCTAGGCTTTCTTAGCTTCAATCTGACCTTAGTTATTGATCTGAAGTTATATCAGCACCCATCTTTTTTCTTACTTCTTCAATGGATATTATAAATGCTTTATTCATGTTAATGTAACTGATCTAATTCTCTGTAGTGTTGTCCAGCGAAACCCATGTAGCCTCTGTATGGGTTTGTGATGGAAAATATTGTCACCTATGACTAATTTGTCGAAATCATATAGATTCATTACTCTCTCATCAAGCTCACTTTTCTTTCCTAGTCCATGTCGACATATTTTAGATTCATATCCAATCTTATCCATCCCTGTCTAGGCACTTAGGTTCCCCATCAAGATGGTCATGTCTTTTCTGGGCACTACTCTAGGGCGAACTTCAGTGTCTCATAAAACTTATCTCTTCCATCTTCGTTGCTATAATTAGTGGTCCCATAGCACTGAATGTCACTCATTGTAATCTTTGCCTATTTGGTTTTGAGAGATACTTTGATGATCCACAACCTGTGGGTTTTTCATTCACTAAGCGTTTCTCATGCTTCTTTTGGTAATATCAGTTCAATTTTATCTCTGTGTGGGACGTTTTCTTCTTCGTGACCGGCATACAATGATAACTCTCTTGAAGTCACTCTTGCTTTTCAGATTATGTAAAATGGGTTTAACTCAATTCAAGAAGGTCCAGGTTGTATCTTCTCGTTTCTGGGGGACATATCATTTTTCTGATTATTCACTTTATTTACAACTTATTTTATCTCACTGTTTGTAACTTAACACCTTACAATGAATTTTCCTACCCTCTTCTTAAATGACCTTCGAAATTTACAGTACATTTTGGACGTATTTCATCCGTAATCGATGCTAAAGTTTACTAATTTAACAACACAAGCTTGCCTTATTTACTCACAATTTATTTGCACATGGCTTATGTGGGTTATTGAAATAAAATAATTATGAGTTTATAATTGTAGGGGCTAATGTTGAAATTATTGAAAACAATTATTTGTTCAAATATTCATTGTTTTTCAATCTCAACTATCTCTTTAAATGTATCGTGCTAACAGCTAGATTATACAAATTTCAACGAGGTAATAGGATAGAATTTTACTGTAAATTTCTTGGAAATTAGATGTTTGGAGACAGTCGACAGAAAGCCAGGAATCTAGAGTTTCGTTCTATTGAGTTTGTTTCTAAATTGCTTTCGAATGGTCTTATTTCTTTTCCTTCAGATATACTATAGTTCGGACAGAGTTAAAGAATTCTAAACACGAAATACAAAGTTAAAAAATTCTAATCTCCAACTTGGAATTAGTCTAAAAAATATATGTATATATATATATGAAAAGTTTTCCAGTGACCATTTGATTCGGTCCCACTTCAGCCACGAACGTCTTGGAACGATTTGTCTCCATCTTCATCATCTTTTCATACCATTATATATTTGATTACATTCGATTACATTGAAATCCCCTTTCATTTCTATTAATGGAATATGAGATAAAAAATATATATATACTAAACAGAGTTATTCTTCCATTTAAATTTCGTAGTAGTTAGCTTCACGTTAGATTGTACGCATATGAATAATTGCATTTACCGTATGTAATAAGTAAATTGAAACAGATTGAATACATGAGAACATTTATTACAAAATTTGTACAATTTAGAAACAGATAAACCAGAAACTTTTGTAATCTACCAAATTAAATCAAATTAAGTAATGTAAGAATGTTGATTAGAAATCGATGAACACTAAGAACTAGGTGTCATCATACCAGTTGCTTTTTAATGACTGATCAATAAACTGAACATTTTCAAGACTATCAATGAAAGAAAAACTGTTCTGAGATATTTCAGATTTTTATTTTCTTTTGATTGACATCAATTTATTTGATTGAACTCATGAGTCAATTGAAGCTAGACCACCGTGGAAAACCTGGAAGCACTGGACGGCCGTTTTGTTCCAGTATGGAACTCCTCAGCAGTGCGCATCCATGATCCCGCACCCCGCGAGATTCGAACCCTGGACCTTCCGGTCTCGCGCCAGGTGCTTAACCTACCAGTGGTGTTAATGTCTAATCTCAACCAATCCAATTTATTTATTGTTGAAATCTGTAACATAAACTAAGTTCTTTGTGAGTAATAATAGATGAAAAAGTCTGACTATAAAATTAGACCTCAATAATAGAAACACTATTGTTTAAATACGACACAATTATAGAATATTTATTTTATCAATATCATAATTCACTTTTAACCTTCAATATGTAAGTGGCACATTATTTTGTTCCATAAAAATAACAGAAAAAAACTATGAAAGTTGACTCATTTCCAGGTCGATTGTATTTCTATAGAAATGATAATATAACTTGATTGTTTAACTGAAATCATATACAATTATAAACAAAATCTAAATTTACAGTATTAGTTACTTCATTAATTCTCACCATATGGCTTGAAATATCTAGCATCTGTCGCGAACTCATGTATATATAAATATATACTCATGAAATGGTATCTGATTTCTCCGTTGTTCAATCCAAAAGTAGCTTGTCCTTAAAGTTATTTAATACTCTAACAAAATAACAGGTTCATAACGTGTAGACAGATAAATCTACTTAAACCTTGGCAATATATTTTAAAGTTAGCAATATTCAATTATCTTATAAAAGATTCATTGTCTAATTTTATGATTTTGTCCTATTTGTATGACAATGTTCAGAATGAAGTTAATAATAAATAAAGATATACTAACAGTTTTTCTTTCGTTGAATACATAGTTTACACTAGAAAATCTTAACTCAACATTTTTTTCTTCACTATTTCAGAGGTATATACAGATTACCAAAAAGTGCAGATCATCCAGTGGATTCAACAGCTGATCGATTTACTCCAGATGAATGTCAAAAAGCTGCTAATAAATTAGGTCTTCGTAGAAGACAAGCACGATTTTGTATGCATCCACGTTTTGGTTATGCAATGCTTGCTGTACTTAGAGCTGCACATGCTGTCGGATATCATTGTCCAAAAACATTTTCAGATAGACGATGGAATTGTACTTCTATACATCAATTACCGCATGTATCACCAGAGTTAAGAAGAGGTAATTTATTTTCGTTAATTTAGTGTTTATTCTTTGCGAAATATCAAATGACTTAATAAAAAAATAAAAGTCAATCTGTCGGTAAATATAATGCGTTACTAATCGCTTTATTTAAAAAACTAATTTTTCATGAGTTAGCTAATAAAATGTAATATTTGACATCGATAAACTAAGTTGAACATACTGTGGTCAAACAACCAGGGAAGACAGCTAGTCAGTGATTTTTCGTTTTTATTTTGCTTACAACGATAAAAAATGAATTATTTAAAGACGTAGAGGCCTAATTTATCCAGTTGTTTTGAATCATATTTAACTTAATATTGTACAGTAACTCCAAACATTTTATTGTAAGCAATCGACATATATATATATATATATATATATATATATATCATTCCACCAAATCAAAATTAGGAACTCTTGTTCTCGCGATGGAAGAAGTTAAAAGACGTTTTTATAAACAACTCAACTGTAACTCACATATTCACATGGTACTAGCTTCAAGGTGAATTTTCTGAAGTTCTATTGAGACTTTGTAATAAGTAAAATTAGTACAATTGGAAATAAGTCAATGGTAGATCGATGATATTGAATGTTAGCCGTTAAATATAAATTTGCTATTTATACACTGATTTTTATAGGACATTATGGCTTGTACTTACAAATGTATCGAACAGAATTGGATAAATATAGAGAAACTTATGGTTTATTTGAAAGAACTTACTTGTTATGAAATATGAAATGTACATTTAGGCTTTTGTAAAAAAAATCGATAGAGAGAAGGAATTGGTACGAGGTTATAGTTTAATCCTCTGTTAGCTAATTTGTTTATAACAAGTGTAAAAAAATCTTATGCCAAAATCGGTAGTTAAAAAACGAGGTTTATGTAAGAGATATGTCGATAAAACTCTCATCGGATATGATGAAAAGTAAAGTGAACTACAAGTACTCTGATTTGGAATAAGTATCATACGTCAGTAAAATTCATAATGGGATAAGAATTTAGCTGAAAATTATTTTATTTTGTATCTTAATAAAATAAAGGATGAAGCAAATAAAATGTTCACATTTAGTAAACGCATTAGATAATGCAGAGGATATCTGAAAAAATCAGAGCTACATTCTTGTTAAAACTAAACTACACCTCATTTATTCTTCATCCTAACGTTATCATGGAATCTGTTCAACTTTATAGGAAGCGAATTTTATGGAGGGAAATATTTACCGTAAACAATTCATAAAAACGTGCGTTTAGTTACTATGAGAATACCTCTGGAGAATTTAAAATACCTAATACAAAGTAATTACAGAAATCTTAGCTTCAATTTGTTTGTTTGATATTGTTTACAAGATCCAGTCGACAGTTATTAAAGTGATAAAGTAACATGTAATCTGCACAATCTGTTGAAGCACACTCTTTACCATGCTCGATGTTTTCACCTCAAACAGTCCTTACACAACTGTTTGTCAGTCGCATAACAACTATCTACCTAAAAATGTCTTTATTTTCGCATATTACAGACACATTAGTTACATTAGTGTGAGAGTGATATGTAAAATCGATATTTTTTAAATATTTATTGTACGATTACTATCGAATCAAATTTATTTTTGTGTTCATATTTTGTGTTTTAGTAAGTCAATTTAAGAAAATAATACCGTTATGTTTTTTAGTTATAATATTGTTCGATAACGGTTCATTTTGGAACTTACGACAATAATTCCATTCACTGAAAAGATGTTAGTTAACCATATTGAATCATATCGAATAATTTATCAAATTGCCATTTGTTAATCCTTTTAACAATCATAAATGAACTTATTATCACCAACCGTAAAACATCCACCATAATTATAAGCAAAGATGGATGGTGGTTAACAATGGAATCCAAGACACGCGTTTTGTCCTGTTTAGGACTCGTCAGGTGGATGAACCTGGATCCTAGAATAAATGTTCACTACTGGATTGTACTACTAGCTACCATCCATCTTTGCTTATAATGCTTGTGAATTAAGGTAATATCAAGGCAATCCGCACAGGTTGCACATATGCCAATTAGAGACTGATCAATTCCAGTCATAGACAACGATGGGAAGATTCAAACAAACAATACAAAATGAATCTATTCGTTATAATGTTCCCGAAATTGATCTTTACACTGCAATCATAACAGACAACTCTTATTTTGCCACTTTGAATTACGTGTAGTCACAATTACTTTGGTTATTTCAATCGTCAATTATTTATTAAGCGTCAAATATCCCACCCATAACATTATACTTAGTAAATAAAACTATTTAGTTAGTTTAACGATCCCATAGCATCATAAAAATACTGATCTGACAGCAAGATTTGACTTGATAATTTTAAATAAACTGAGTATTGGGTAGATTGTTATAAATAAGAATAATATATTTGCAATATCCCAATGAGTAGAAAAATTAGATTTTCTGACGTTTCATGACAAATCTTATTCAGACCTACTTTTTGATTGATCACATCTAATATTTTTGCTTTGTTCCTTTGTACTATTTGAACTTGGATTAATTTTGATTTAGTTATTTATTCTCTGAAGAAGTGGCTTACAGTGAGTCACGAAACATCAGAAAATCCAATTTTCCTACTCATTAGAATATTACAAGTATAATACTTTTATTTATATTCTGACCATATGTCAATTACTTTATTATTCAAATATTATCCTGTAAATTCACATGCGAACTCCCCCTTTGAAGATCTACTTAATTTTTTAATGTTACAGCTATGATCAGTTATTGTGTTTTGTATCTCTTTGTAGAGCCTGTAGACATAGTGTTGCTTTCAGTATAGTTTCATAACTGAACAAATGGATCAGAACATCAACTAAGATAAATTGAACTCAGGCTACTAAATCAAAGCAACATAGTTGACTGAAGTAAATGTGACATTTTAGGAGCAAAAAATATAGCTAATTCATTTGTATTATCTACCTTTTTTAACAATGTAACTATTTATATTAAAATAATCACTATTATAGGCACACGTGAACAAGCAATTGTACATGCATTTGCAAGTTCTGTATTATTATTTGAAATTGGACGATATTGTGCATTGAATAAAATTCGATATTGTTCTTGTGGTGATGAAGATGGCAGTTATGCTACACCAAATTATCCTTCATCTCATATATATAAAAATAACAATTTACTTAGACAACATCATTCACAAACTTTGTATAATGATAATAATAATGCATTAGTATATAATTCCGATGGTCATTTAATGAATTCCATTGATACATCTAAATCAAACAATATACCAATGACAGATGGTCAACCAACAGTTAGTAAATTTTATTGGGCTGGTTGTTCTGATAATTTGCGTACAGCTAAAGAATATACATCATTATTTCTTGGTTTTCCAAATGTACATGTAATGTTACCTCCACCAATAGAAACAGATAATCCTAATTTAGATACAATACATGATATGAATAATCAAAATCGTTATAAAAGATCAACGTATTCTTCACAAGTTACAGAAAGTAATTATGATACAACACAATTATCTGATATGTTTAGTCTGTTTCAAAATCAAATCAATGTTAATGAGAATGTGGACAATAGAATTAGAGAAGAAGATGTAGATGAAGAAACTGAAGAAAATGAAGAAGAGGATGACAGTGAAATAGATGATTCAGAATTATTCTATTCACAACATGAATATACGGATAGACGACGTCGTAATCTACATAAAAAATGGTCATATCAATCTACAGCACAAACCAACAAATATCCGTCATACAATTCAGCACAACAAATGTATGATTCAGTAGATGATAATGATGAAAGATTACCACGTCATCCTAGATCAAAACAAGGTAGAAAAAAATCCACACTACGTAATTTAAATCGTCATAATTATCTAGCAGGTGTAGTAGTAAGTCAATAATACACATTGCTACAATTATCTCATTATTATCTTTTCTTTGCATACCGTTTAAAGTATTTGTGAATGATAGCGATCTGGATAACATGGTCAATTGATTTATTATCGGTAACTGAAATGAAACTACTTTGATTTTAGCATTCTTTTCAAAAGTTTATAGTTTGTCAAAGCTGAATACTGAAAATCAATTTAGCCTAAGTATTCGCATCTTATGCTCCATGTGCAACGACAAACATTTTATACCAAACAAATAAAACAGCAAAGTGAAAATGCATTTCATCTGTCAAAGAGTTTACGTGAAAATTACTTTCAGTGATTGCAGGAATAAACGATAGACCATATGAAGATAGTATACATCAAAAATCAAAATTAATTTGAGAACTACTGAAAGCCAAATGGCAATGTACGACATTTTTTCTTCAGGCTTGAAGCACCGCAACAGTTCACATAAGGTCCAAAATTGGATCGTCAGGTAGTGTGCTGAAAACGACTCATCGTTTTTATAGGACTGAAATCTAGTAGTAAAAGTTTCCTGTCAAGCATATTCATGAGGAAATTAATCTATTATCCTAAGTTATAGGTAGATAACTCCCTAACACATTGTGTCTTATTAAAACTTCAAAAAACTAATTGGGAATTTACTCACCGGCGTGTGTCTAATTATTTAAGGTACCAATAAATTATTCAAAATATAGAATAGTTTAGCCTTCTTTTTAACATATACCATGAATAAAATAAAACACTATGCTTGAGTGTTGAATGGATAAAACAATAAATTAGGTTAACACTATATAAAGTACAATAAACAGTGAAAATTCAAGTATACTTTGTTCGTACATGATTGTTTACTTCATAGGCTTGTTTCAGTTTAACTTGTAAGTAAAACTTCAAAACAAGACAATGGGCTGTAGGTATGTATATTAATTGTGAGAAGTTACAAGGTATGTACATGAGGCATATTTAGGGAGCCTACAATCGTCCATTTGCATCTTTCGGTGTGTTCTGTAATTTCAACTGTCTTTTCGACTGGCCTCCAAGTGTTTTGGGAACGCCATGCTTGTGATGCATTGAAACTCTTCACTCCGGCTGACAGTTGCTGCAACTTTGACACCATGTTCTGCTACATGCTACATACAAGCCTTCTTATGAGTAGCGTCCATTACAGAATTAATAAAGTATTTATATCAGCTTTCCATTTTAATGAATTTTTAATTCAATGAGTTTGATAGTGCCCATGTGGAAACGTGTTTTGTTAAAAATAGAGAAAAATGAAATTATTGTTCAAAATGTTTTTATTTGAATGTACACATAAATAATGTAAACTTATTCTCAAAATAATTGGGATACACAGAGAGAAATGAAAACACCACTTAATAATTTGTTATACCTTAATTTGGTAGATATACTAGTTAATGAATTCTTTACACATGGATATTTGAACTAGTTCAAGTATTCAAGCTTCACGTATTCACTAAAGTCATAAGTAAACCCTAATTATATTGTTCATTTTATTATTATTTAGTTGTAAAAATACTAATTACTATCACTTATTAATTATAGATGAATTTCTTGCCATGAATGAAAATGTCAATGAAATAATAGAATTGAGTATTTTTGTTCCCTTTCATTTCTTAGAAGTGCCTAATCATATATGAACCGTCAAATAGTTTCATGTAAATATAGTCATCTATTGTATACTGAATACGTTCTGTTGAGAAATGGATTAACGATACAGTGAGTAGTTACGGACATAATGACACTAAATGACTAGTTGACAAGTATTCATTAAATTGAGCATATGCCAATACTTTATTCAAATTATTACAGTTATCAACTTCACGAGGAATAATGTGAAAGTATGTAGAGATGATTACCAAGGTTTGACTCAAAAATTTCAAATAAATTGAGCATTGAATAGACTGATATTCATAAAAATAGTGAATATTCTGTAAAGAGTTGGTTTACAGAGAGCTACAAAACATAAGAAAATTGAATTTTTTTACTGATTGGGGTATTATAAATATATTGATTTTATCAGGAATGTGAAAGTAATTTCAAAAATGACAGAAAACATTTCGAACTTGAACATAATATGGCTTATTGACGAAGTGCGGATCTATAAACTAGACTCTCAGATCTACCATTCATGTAACGGTTGATGATATTGTTGTGAACGAGAATGCAATCAAGGACAACCAAATGTATTTCAACATAAAATGTCTTAATAAAATTTGAGAAATATACAGCGAATTCTTTATTTTCGAAATGTCAAACAATTGTCTCAAACTTGACTGTTTCTTCTGCAAAATGTTAATCAATTGTCTTAGACTTCATTGTTCCTTCATTTCCACATGAATCATTCTCTGTTCCCGTTCTCTTTTCTTTGGTCTTCTTCACCTTCTATCTCCAAGTATTTTACTTTCGATTGGTACATACTACTTATATTTGTCAACATCAGTAGCACATACAACAATATGACAACACCATTGGAAATAATTTCAGAATTCATTTGTTAGGTTCTTTTCATAATTACTTTAGGTAACAGTTTTTGAATATTAAGATAATTATAGTGTGTATCATAACAAAACTTCAGAAGTTTAAATAAAAAGTAGATTTTTGATGTGAATTGATCAAATTATAATTACAATTCATTGAGAGGAAAAACGATATTAAAATGTTATTTAGGCTGTTGATAGTTAACTACAGACTTTTTTTGAATACAAAGGTTAATTTTAAGCCTTCTGGTTACTATGATTTTTTGAGTTTTAATAACATGGAATTATATTGTTTATAAATAACTTTGAACGAGTTCATTGGATTCACGTCATATACCGTGTTTAGTAGGTAACGTACTATTGACTTATGTGATTAGACTTCTCCTCGAAGGTGTAGGATATTTTGAAATATCTCCATTTAATCGAGTAAAAGCCTATTCGTTGTCCGTCTAATATATGTGGTTTTGTATATACAGGCAAATTGATGAATGCAGTTAGGGGTTACATTTAATAGATATTTGTCTACTTTAGTTTTGATTATTGATCATAGTGTTATGTATAGTGAGATGAACTTCGCAGCTCAGAATGTACTTTATAAAGCTGCTTATAGTGTTTAATTGATTTTATTCATCATTTGATCACCTTTAAATGACAATCGAATAAAAACTTTTATTCTAGTATTCTTTTGTTTTACTTCACTAATCGGGACTATATTTTTTCACAATTGGCTTAGGATATCCGTTTACTAAAGATAATTATTTATTACAGTGTATTTCTCTTCGAGTTTTTTTGGTGAACGCAACTTTCTGGATATTTGGAAGAGTATTTTCACCAACCCATATTTCATAAAGTAACAAACGATAATTCATATACATGATAATTTGTTTATTTTAATGATAAAGTGACCATACATTGAATTGGAAATCAATAATAAATGAATTATGACTAAACTACCCAATAGTTTAATGATTTTTCTATGAAAACATTAAGTAAACATTTATTGACGATTAAACAGCTTACTAACTATTTGTGTTCGTACAATTCACCACCTCCAGAATAAAAATTAATATGTAACAGTTTAATAAATATAAAACACCTAGTTAATAATAACTCAAAGATTTCAGTGAAGAGCTGTGACAAATGAAATTCATTCACATCGGGTATGAGAGAAATATTAGTAATGACGATGCATAATGTTTTCTAAATATAACGTATTAATTAGAGTTAGAAATGAAAGTTATTGGGTGGCGATCCAGTAATCTTAAGATTACACTTTGATCTTCAGCTCTGAAGGTTCTTAATTCTACTCTTATTCAGCAGTAATGAACACATAATATTGAAGAGTCCTACACTATGGTGAAACAAGTGCCCAGTCCTGTCTGGTTTTTTGACTGTTGTATAATTAAGGTTAACCTGTGATGTCTAACTAAAGTTTTCAATCACATTTATAAAACACCATTGAAATCATTCAACTTTATTTCGTTCATCAAGTTTATTTGATAAAATAAACATGGAACATGTGAACTTCATTCATAAGCATATTCATATCAGAAGGAGTTTTGTGAATATGTACTAATTTCAATAGTTGAGATCATGAGTCAATTGAAGCTAGACCACCGCGGAAAATCTAAAAGCACTGGATGGTATATTCAAATGAAGTTATCTCAATTAAAACTATATGCATTATATCTATCCATTCCATAAAATCTCTTGTTTGTTTGATAATATATTACAAAATATATGACTTTATCCTATCCTTGAACAAATTCATACATAAGTAGTATTGTGTTGTTTTTTTACTTCTTCCTTGTATATTTTAACTTTAAGTTTAATCAAGTTATTCTTTCTTTATTCGTTAAAGTAATAAGGCTTGTGTATCATAGATTATTGCTATTCACGAACTTTCTTCATCCATTTCAGTTCAGAGATACCAGTCACATAATTATTAACACACTTTATACATTAGTAATCATTAAAACTAAATATTAACCGATAAATACCTGTATTTCTTTAAGCTTTTAGGAATACTTTCTCACTTACTATTTACTTGTATTTACTATGGTATACTTAATTAGTAATTATTAAAGTCTAGTTAGTCTAAAATATCTTAAGTAGTTATTGAAAACATATGTTCATTGAAACATACATAAAGAGTAATAAATTAAATTGAAATAAGCCAATATTACACTAAACAATGTTACTTAAAGGTTCTTAGAGAATATCTTTTTTTTTCTAAAAAAAAAAAGCGACGACAACAACAAAATTTGTTAGATAAATTAACTATTTTCATTAACTTTACAATTATAAACCAGTTAAGGTTGTAATCTATTAACTAGTATACTAGAAATACATTATTCTGGGTTAAAAACTAGTAGTAAAACAAATCATTATGGTACATATGTATTTTTATCCCATTTATAATGATTAAAATTCATTGACCTAAGCCTCCAACTGGTAATTTGTCAAAAATTAAAAAAAAATAAATGTAAATTTCACAAATCCTTATCCTGATCATAATCATCATGTGCTCACTAATGACTCACTTCAAGGTGATTTCTTAGAGTTGTAGTGAGAAGGCGTGAACAGTGAAGCTTAATCCGTGTTGGGTGGAGACAATTGTCCATCTCAGATAATCGATAAACGGTTGCGTCAGGTCATGAATCGATTGAAATGAGACATTAACACCGTTCGATACCGGCTCGGTGGTCTAGAGGTTAAGCATTCGCGTGTGTGAGAAAAGTTTCTGACACATAGTTCCCTTTACTTTAAAAGTTTCTGAGTTCGAGTTTCACATGCAGGATCGCTGTTGTGCACTGTTTAGGAGTCCTATACTAGGATGAAGTGACCATCCAGTGCTTTCGATTCTTCAGTGGTGGTCAAGCTTAGATTGACTCATGAATTCAACTATTAAATTTTTAAATAACTTAAAAACTACGGTGAAAATTTAATCGAATAATTTGAAGTGACTGACTTAATTATAATATATAAAAATTCCAACAGAATTATTTAGATCACTGAACAGAACAAAGTAAAATCAGGAAAAGAGATATTTTTACCAAACGATTACATCTCACCCAGGAATTTACTATCAAGAACATATTCATGGTAATCGTTATTTAAGTTAATAACTGTTAAATATGTAATAAAATGACTGCAAATTTTGGTCTAAGTATAACCAACAAAAATAGTAATGTTTAAATTCTATGAAAAAGTTCTCCTATAGTAATTACATACGACACTTACGTCAAGGAACTTGACTCGCTTGAGATCCGTCATCTCAGTGTGCTTACATTATAGTGAATAACTGGTTATGACATTGACACTCTGTTGTGAAATCAGTTAACAAAATATTATGAAATTTGAATAAAAATGGCCGGTCTTCTTTGTTTTAATAAGTCCTCATTATAAATGTTCAAAGTAATTATGTTTATATTAGTAATTTCTATGTTAATTTATACAATATAAAGACTTTTTTTAAAAACCTATACCGCCTAATAAGATCAAAGCTACTAGAATGGTTAAAGTATCTTACATTTACGTGTGAAAATACAAAAAAAAAACAACGTGATAAACCACCCATGTAACCATGTGAAACATTGTCACTAAATATGAAAACAAATTAAAATGACTAAAAATTGTTAGGTGAAGTTATTTTTGTTTCTATGCCAATATTTAACAATGTATTCGTAATTCAATATTTATAATTAGCCTTTATTTAATATATTGATAAGGTCACATCATTGAATATATATATATATATATTCAATATGCAACAAAAGCAGAAGCTTATTAGATAAACTTAACAACGATTCAATTGATCAAAACCGCATAAGTAATCATCTCAGATAATGTAAGGCGTAAAATTCCTACATATATATATATATTTATACACATGGACATAGACATGGTCTAGATTGTTATGCTGCAAAAACAGAAACATATGAAATATGTTACATTCAAATGATTCATCCTATCATTGAATATTGAATGTATATGTATATATATATATACATAAATATACATTATTTATTATTATTTTTATTATTATTATTATTTTAATAGAATTAGTCGGAAAAATTTGCATAGTCAGCTTTAAAAATCCCAGAAGATATTTAACCTTTTCACAAAGTTACGTATAACATCGACTAGCCTATTAATAATTTTTTTATATGATTGTTTTACAGCCATTGGTGGTGATAAATATAATAAAAAATAATAATAATAATAAATAATAATAGTAATAATAATAATAATAATGATAGTTTTTAATGATAGTAATCCTATTGGTGATGTTATTGTGATGGTAACCGTGGTGATAATGACCATGAAAATAATGATGATTTCTATTGAGAAAAAAAAATAATAACTGAAACAACTTGATTTGCATGAATCCATTTCGTTCGATGATAAATGTCTTCTATATCATTCAATTTTCATTTTACCCCATCTCATTTATGTATTGATAGTTGAAACGAATGTGTTTTTAATATAAAAACAAACTATGAATTCACATTCCTAGTATATAATAGCTTATCTGGGTTGTTTTTTTTTTGGTAAAATTAGAATGTATTTCTTTAACTATGTAGTTATGTACATAAAACAATAACTAATAATTTACCATAGTGAAATTACTGGATTCAGACGATTAACTTTGTAATATAATGATTTCTATATGTAATAGAATGATATTATGTGAATAAAAATGGTTGAAAATTGTAAATGCTATCTAATAAACTAGATTTTTAGAATCATACATTAACAGCAGAATAAACATAACAACATTAATATCAGAAGAGGCTTTTTTGTGGATATTATAGTAATTTCAATGGTTGAAATCATGAGTCAGTTGAAGCTAGACGGGATCGTGGATGCGTGCTGTTGAGGAGTCCCACAATAGAACGAAACGGCTATCCAGTGCTTCCAGGTTTTTCATGGTGGTCTAGCTTCAACTGACTCATAATCTCAACAACATTATACAGAAATCAGATAAATTTATTTTATTCTTCTGAAAAGTTATCCGATGCTCATTTAACATCATGTTATAGAATAGACAATGGTCAAAATTAATTCCATTTAACAGTTGAACTCGACCTAAGCTAGACCACCACTGAAGACCTGGAAGTACTGGATAATCACCTCATCCTAGTATAAGACTCCTAAGCAGTGTGCATCCGCGATCCTGCATGTGAAACTCGAACTCAGAAACTTTTGTTACACACGCGAACACTGAGCCGTCATCGAACGGTTTTAATGTCTCATTTCAATCGATTCATGACCTTGCGCAACCGTTTATCGATTATCTGAGATGGATAATTATCTTCACCCGATACGAGCTGGGCTTCAATCCTATTTAACTAATTGAGGTATTCCAGAGATTACTCATTTTGTAGTTTTTAATTGATTTCGTTTCTGGTTAACATTTTTTTATTCAAGGTTGTTTACACAAGCAAGTTTTAAATTGAAGACTGACTTTAGCTAGATAACTGTAAAACTCCATTTGTCAGTCATCGTAGATGTCACACAAGTGTCACTAAATGCATTTAATATTAGTCGCACAATATGCGACATGTAAACTAACTGATGTCACTTCAACAGATCATTCAG